TTTCAACTTCAGGCCCATGCTGCTACATCCCAACGATCGAACTTGGCAGGTGCAGGCTTGTCTTTGTGGCAAAAAACTCTAGTCTGGTAGATGGACGAGTAATGCGTTGATACAAGTCATGCCAGCAACCCTCTTTCCGAAGTCCGCACGCAGAGGAAGGGAGTGAGAGAGAAAGGCAAAGAGAGAATAGAACGAAGGAAGCAAGCCAGAGAGGGACGAGCGAAGGAGAAGAAGCCTGCATGAGGAAGCAGCGTGTGCTTCCATTCGGCGACGAGTCTCTCCCTTCGTACTTCCTCGAGAGATGAACACCGAGCCTAGTGAGACGGCGATGCACGTCTGGCGAACACGACTTGCGCCTTTAAAATCGGTGCTCTGATCGCCGTCTGCAATTATAGGCCAACCCAAGACGCGGAACAGCGCCGCCTCCAAGCCCGACGTACTCGAACAGAGACTGGCGGAAGTGGGCGGTGCTTGATGCATGCCACATGTTTCCAGTCGCAACAACTAGAAGCTCGTTCGAGGGGACTACTTGCTCGCATCCTCCCAAACTTTGAGAAAGGAGCATCTACGGCATGGGTGAGTTTCCGAAGGCTTGACTCGAACGGTCGGCTCCTACTGCCAACGCGACTGACACGCAGCTCCCAACCTGAACAGTGTGTGCGTATAAATAAATAAATAAATATATATATATATATGAGTATGTATAACCCACACATATTCATATGTATATATATATATGCACACACATATCTTTATATATATATATATACATATATATATATATACATATATATATATATATAGCGTTAGAAAGTATCAGATTCGGTTTATGTAGCTAGATTAGATTCGATTGGACTAATTGATTCATTGCTGGTTGGTTGGCCCACAGTAGGACGTATTTGATGGAACCATGCCAAACAACGTAACATGGGCAGTCTCTAGAACATGAAAACTCCGTCGTTGTTTTCAGCACAGGCTTTGGGTGTATGCCGGCAAGCTGGAACATCAAGGTCTTCACAACTTCACAACACACCAGCAGTGTTGAAACTGAACTCATTGCACGGCTTGCGAACATAGGTGTCAGGCTCAGGGCCTAAAGATGAACCTCTATAGAAACATCGCTTATCCTTACCTGAGCCTGACTTTGCATCACAGTATGTGCCATCGGTATATTTGCATACATGCGTACAAGAAACTACATGTGTATGTGCACACAAGTACAGCCTGTACACATGTGTGTATATCTGTACATTGCACGTACATGCAAGCATATCTGCGTATGTACGTATGCAACAATTACGTTGAGTTGACTTGCTGTCTACATGCGTGCAAACATATGTGACTGTACATGTAAACACACATATAATACATACGTACATACATACATACCTCAATCCATGCATGCATACATGCATAAGCACATGCATGCACGCCTACATACATACACACTTACATACATACACATTTACATCCATACATAAATACACGCTAAGACCTACCTACCTACCACCTGCCTGCCGCCTGCTCCAAACATACATACATCATGAGTGTACATATACATATGTATGTGTATATATATATATATATGTATACATATACACCTGCGGACGTGAATACGTATGTGTACATGTATACCGGTAAATTTCAAACTTGCATATGTATATACATATATCTATATATATATATATATCAAGATATGTCAATATATGTAAATAATAATATTGACCTATGTATATGCGTATATGTAGATGATATATACATATATAACCACATACATATATATGTATATATACATATACATAGTTATACATATATATATATATATGTACATTTAACACAAAATTTGGTGTGTAGTAATGTGCTCATGAGGTATACAAGCTAGTACAGTACTTGGCCAGCTGTTTGGAGACTCAAGAAATCCCTGAATCACCCTACAAGCCAGAGGAATCCCAGGTTCTAACGGCTCCAATCCTGTTCAGCTGCGATTTCGGCAACATCCCTGCTCCGCACAGGATGTAGCGAGTGATCCCCGACATCTGTATTTTGATGTGCATGTGCTACAACACATGACAGCCCCCCTAAACCCGTCTCCAAGCCCGCAGCCCTTGTGACGGGCCAAAACCAAGGAGCGCCTGACTGAAGTTCTGCTTCAGCTTCTCTGCGAATTCCGGCAAGGGCGACACGATCAGACAGCGAGGCCTGGGGGAAACTCGGTGTTAGGCGTTTTCTTTGCCTTGCGCATATTCCCGCCTTGCCTTCACAGTTCGGCCTTGAGGCTCAGCATGGCTGCGCAGCCGACCAATCTATACTGCCAGCTTCCTAACTCCGAAGCCATACAACCTTCCACAATCCCTTCTTGCAGGAATATTCTAGTGCAAACGGTGCTTAGACTCAGATATCCCCGGTGAATCCAGGTGCCCCGGCAGGTAGCTTTTGGATGCCAATCGCTGTACAGTGAAATTGAAGTCCGGAGGCAAGACATTGTACCTGGCGGGTCTTCATGTTTTTGCGCACATGTTCTTACCGGCACACACACACACATACACACACACACACACACACGCACCTGCATGCACGAAATGATATGGTCACTTGGATGGTCAGTTTAACAGCGTCCGCACGTGCGCAATGCTTTAGCGCGAAGGTGAAGTACGTGACCGTTGCAACACCTCCAATACTTGACGCTGGGTTGTATCGGGCGTTTCAGGTTTCCGCGTTTACTCAAAAATCTCGGTATAGTTTTGTTCATGGTTGCAGGGTTCCCAAAAAGCTGTATGTGCCAAGAAACATGTCAAATGTGCTGTCGAGGACATGTCAGCTTGCTGAAATCCACGACAGGCAATGGAAACAACGGAACTTGCGTTCGGCGTCTGTAACACCACTTGTGCACCAAGAAATGCGGAATGCGTGTCGGTAAACTGCTGTGTCTGTCTATCTGTCTGTCTGTCTGTCTGTCTGTCCGTCCGTCCGTCTGTCTGTCTGTCTGTCTGACTGCGTGTGCATGTATGTGCACATGCATGCAAGTAAGGGTGTATGCACATGTGAATGTGTATGTATGCATATTGGTATGTCTGTGTGTATATGTAGATGTACATGTACACGGTACAAACATACAAACGTACATACGTACATATGTGCACACAAACGCACATGCGAACATAAACACATACACAAACCATGCACACATACACAGACACGAACATGCATGCATACAATACATGCATACAAAAATGCATACATACACACGTACGTACATACATACATACATACGTATGTACGTACATACATGAAGTTACATACATACATACCTACATACATAAATACATACCTACCGCCAGCCAGCCAGCCAGCCAGCCATGAACACAAACATACATACCTAAACAAAGAAAACAAACATACATACGTGCATGCATATTTACGTACATATTTACACATCTACAGACTGTCTGATTTACTTACAGGCTTACTTACTTGCTTTCTTACTTATAGACTTATTTACTTACTCACATACTTACACCCGTACAATCACACGTACGTACAACAAACCTAGATACATGCATACTTGCATGCATACATACTTACAATCATGCAGCCATACATACATACATACATACATACATACATACATACATACATACATACACACACCTATACATATATTCACACATACACTGGTACAGCGCATTACCCATCTGAAGCACCACCTACCGAACACCTGGTACTCCTCATTATACTCCCTGTATGTGCCATACCGGCGGGGGGCCGCAGTTGCATGAAGGTGTCCAAGTCCACCTGCAGCTGAAGCTGCGTTGGACTCACCTGGGTCTGCGACGGCTTCGAGCGATGGTGACGATAGTTAAAGGAGTTAACTAAAGGACGCGAACGCAGAGCCCATATCTACAATCCTCGTTTGAACGGCATATAAAGGGGAACCCCGTGCTTGGGACACCCTCCAGTAAGTGCATGTTGTGCCGTCTGCATTGCGCTTAAGGTGTTGGGAAGAAGATTGGGGTGAGGGCTTCACTATGCAGTGCCACGGGGTTCTACTGAATCTACGTATTCTTCCTTGCCTCTCTCTCTCCGTCTCTCTTTCTTTCGCCAGGACTACGCCCTCTATCTCTCTCTCTCTCCCTCCCACTCTCTACACATGTACACACATGCACACTCAGCAGTTGTTCAGCCCGTCTGTTTCATACATAGTACGGGCATCTCCCTAACACCGTGCATACGCGTACATTCATCTTATGCCAGTGGCTCCTGGGCAACATTCATGAGTTGCACTCCGTGGTTCAACAGCATACCCGCAAACATGACATTGAGCCCTGAGGCCAAGCCCCAAATTCCGTCCATCGTCAAAACGTAAGCCCGGCGTCCCAGTCCAATTTCAGTCGCACTCCCCGAGTAGCCGACGTGGCTTTCGTTGTACATGCTCCTGTGGCAGCTTTGTTTGCGGCCGGCCGGACCTCTATTTCAGCTTAGTACCCGGAATTCTGACTGCTGGTCTGAGGTACCAATGACAGGTACGGTTAAGCATGCCATCGATCATCGCCAGCACCATCCGGTTCTACCCTGGAAGCAGCATCACCACCAGTCCAGGGCTGTCAGGGATTGTGGGCTTGCAGATGCAATAAGGCCTCGGTGCAGGAAGTCCGGCGTCATGCACTGGATATCCACCAAGCATTTGGCATGCAAGCCAGATCTAAGAAGCGGTGGGCAAAAGAGGAACCCAAACTCCACCTTTGAGGGTTCTTCTCTGCGCCAGTCTGCCAACCTAGAAAGTAGCATGCCAATCTGCACACGAGAAGAAGGTTGCCTTGCAAAGGCGCACCTCGCTAGAGACAGATCGCATTCGCCGACTGCCAGGCACGGCTGTGCGTGCTCTGAAAGGCTATAAAAGCAAAAGTTCGACTGAACCCAGTCTGTGCAGAGTGCACTCCACAAAAAATATCATTCAAGGCACCCCTCAAACACCTGCTTGAAATCCAGACACCCTCAGAACTTCAAGACAACCGGCTCCTCAACCCATCGGAATCCACCAGGCTGCACCTAGTGGCCACTGATCCGGGGATGCAATCATTCTGCGCTGATTTCAATGGTGTACGGGAGTTGCAGAAGCACCCCTCAATTCGGAGAAGGCTGTCAATCAGACCTGGCCCTATGCAACCTCCCATGCACCTTCAATCGTCGTGCACAAAGCCTCCATTGACGCCAACCAGGGGGTGCCGGCGTCTTCCGGTCCGGTTACAGGCCCGGGCGTAGGACCGTGTAGCCCCAAACCCTACACAAAATAGGTACATACATACATACATACATACATACATACATACATACATACATACATATATACATATACATATACATATACATATACATATACATATACCTATACATATATATAAGTAGAGACATGTATATTTATATAGTAGTTTGTGACCCTGTTACTACATGTATATCCCATAATTTGAGACAGTAGGCTGTTGGATCCGGAGGTTCGGGTGGGGGAAGCAATGGCTTCGAGGCCAGACCAGGGGCCGGTATAGCGCAGAAAGTCATAGGGTTATTCAGACTCTATCTTAGGGCGGCCGGGTGGGGGGGGGGATGGGTGGGGGAGGGAGTAGAGCTCCAGTGACTCCAGTTCCTTATATAATAGGTCGGAGTTGTAACCATACAATTGTTTGACACAATAACACATTGTCTAGGTGGTTGGCATCCTAGCGAGCTACCTCATGCCAGAGCACAGAAAAAATGCACAAACCATGCTTCGGCTTCCTATGGCCCTCCAGACCCTAAACCCCAAGACCGTAACAAACCCTAAAGTTCCCTGGAGCTGAACATGCAATCCCAAAACTCCTGAACTAACAAACCCAAAATTCCCTGGGGGCTTGCCAGGTCCCAAGCGAGCTACCTTCCGCCCATCGGGGACCTCGGCGGAAGGCTAAAAACTTCAGAAAATTGGCGCCGGCAAAGCTATAATTAAGGGTTTAGGCGCTCACACCCGGGCCCCGTGGTGAGCAGTCCTCGGTACTTTTGCTATCTTTACATTCCACAATATCACGCCCACGGGGATGCTGAATGTTGATTATAGATGTACATGTGTAGATGAAAAAGTAGATAGACAGATAGATAGATAGATAGATAGATAGATATATAGATAGGTAGATTAGGTTTTTAGCAGATAGACCGATAGATAAATAGGTAGATAGACAGGTAGATCGATGGATGGATGGATATATGAGTGATATATGCATGTACGTAGGTATGTATGTATGCACACACACACATACATACATACATACATACATACATACATACATACATACATACACACACATGCCTGCATACATACATCCATGCATACATGCATTGCGTGCATGCATGCATACATACATACACACACGTATACATACATGCATGCATGCATGCATGCATGCATGCATGCACATACATACGTACTCACGTGCATGCATAGATACATACGTACATACATGCATACGTACATTACATTACATTGCATTACATTACGATCACATTACATTTATATTACAATTACAGTACACTACATCACTTGACTTTACATTACATACGTACATACGTACATACATACATACATACATACATACATAAATACATAAATACATACATACATACATACATACATACATACATACATACATACATCCATACTTACATACCTACATATTATACACATACACGCACATGTCTGCTTTGGGGTAGACATCTTTGGCACAGCCCAAGCAAATCCCACCCCCAGCTACACCGCACAGAAATCTGAAGCTCAGGCAATGGTTCTCTGACTGGATCCAACTCCGGGTCAGCCTGGTCCGGCAGCAAAGGCTTGGAGCTTCGGGTTTCAGTCAATGTATCCAGGATGGAATGCAAGCCCGGTCCGTTTCATCTCGGATCGGTTCCAGGGGCTGGGGCTGGGTGATTTGATCCTGCAAACGGTGGTTCCTTGATTGCTTTGGAGTTAAGCAGCATTCGCAGTCCGGTATAGGCGCGACCAGGTGAGGATTTTCAACCAATGCTCTATGCCTCCTTTTACATGTTCCAGGCGGGTTCCAGCAGTGCAGGTACCTCACTTGCATGATTTCAGGCCTCGCCACAGGGACCCTTAGGGGGGTAGGGGGAAGGGGGGTAGGGGGCCAGGAAGTATAATATAGTCCCCTTACCACCCCAAAAGGGTCCCTATGACCTCAGGACCGTCTATGCCCGCCGGGCCAAACAATTCATCTGATAAATGCCCAGGCAATCTTGCGGGCAATGAAGAAAGCATCAGAACGGAAGCTCAAAGTAAGCAAACACGAGGAACCCTTTACTGAACCCTCTTGAAATCTTACAACCGCTTTCAAGCTCCATGCGCCCCTGCTTCCTCGGAACGCCAACACACGTAGGGAGGGACCATTCCGAGTTTACGGCCCAGCTGGTAGATCTCTAAATATCCAGCAAACATGCAAATCCCAAGGCCGGGAAGCCAAGCGCCCAACTCATTGGTACCAGTACCCTCCTCCGACTCCACAGCACCAGCCTCAATGGTGACGATGAAACCTCAGGGGACTTCCCCTCTGAATCGTGTTCTGATTTCGGGGGCGCCCCGCCTCTCGAAATACCGCAATCCTTAACCTCTAAACCCTAAAACCAAAACTCCAAACCCCACAAGCTCTACACGGCTCTGTCTTGAATCAGGGAATCTCAGGCGGCTACTCCCTACCGGCTTCAACGAAAAGGCGGTCAAAAGGGGGCCTTAGTGATTCGAACAGGGTTTGGGAGTAGATACATACCCTAAGGGTCCATGTGCCCAAATAGATGTACTACTTGGCCTTAAAGTAGTCCCTATATAAGTACTTTGGGGCCAATGTATATACTATTTGGGTACATGGACCCTCAGGGATACAGAGACGATAAGACGATACTGGTGCTAATGCTTGCTAATGCTGGATGTTTCACAGGACAGGGCCGGGGCGCCGATGTTCCACGTTCCATGCGTATCCAAGTGAGCTTCCCAATCGCTCGCTTGCTATCCAAGTGAGCTTCCCTATCTCTCGCTTGCTACCTGGAGACCAAACCATAAGGCCATAAGTTGATGCACAAAATCAAATCTCGCAGCTTTTTCACATTCCCAAATCTCACCGAAACACAAAACCAAAATATGTATGCATGTATGTATGTATGTATGTATGTATGATACGTATGTGTGTATGTATGTATGTGAGCGCATACATAAACCCTAAACCCTAAACAAATCTGATAACAAAACCATATAATACGATATGTGTAAACATATGTATGTATTGCTATGCCACTAGAAGGCCTGTGAGGACAAAAATACTCTGGACTTTGGGGTTCTAGCTTCATTTCCCTAAGTCCTTAAACCCGTTCTTGAACCAATGAAAGTGAATGATGCCCTATGTCTCTGTAAGCAAGGATACCGGCCTCCGCAAGTGGGTAGCTGCCCTGGCTCCACCTGGGCTGGGCGTTCACTGCGGCTCCCTGAATTAATGTACCCTGAGACCAGCAGTGTGGACAGGCCGTCAGAGCTGCTCTAAGCTCACGCAACCCAACAAACACGCTTCAAACGAAGGCAGCCGTGAGTGTCAAATCCCTGAAGCACACAAACCAGGACCCGGGCTTTGATGGACCAAATGGCCTGAGTGGAGCTGCCGCTGCGGTAGCTTATTGCTTCGCACAAGGGATCCAAGCGCTCTTGGACTTACGAAAGACTTCCGATGAGAAATGGATCTCTGTTCATCCATATGCACGCCCCGATCCTATGCCGATCTCGCGGCGTTGCGACAGCCTCTGATTTGGTGAGATCCGGGGTTCCGGATCTTGAAAATTGAGGCGGCTCAGATTCGGGAGGCCGGGATCAAAAAACAAGGGAAGGACACATTTGTCCTCAACATTTGACACCAAGTGGCGCAGTCTCCACCCGGACCGGTACAGGGGAATACCTTGCAGCAGACCCAAATCTCAACTACGGTATCAGCGTAATTGCTTGCGATTGTACATCTCAGTCTATCTTACGGGAAACTTGACGTACTGCATTCAACTTAGCTCACTACAGCAACGCTTAGTCCTACCCCTGCTCGTGTTCCCACCACTTCCCCCCACACCCGCCCCGACTCTTCCTTGTAATCCTGTTCTGACTCCTGCAATTCCTCGTCGGCCTTACTTCTTCTACTACCACTACTACGACTACCACGACTACTGCTGCTACTGCTACTGC